ATACAGTATATAGCACTCTCTACCATCGGCTCATACATTCATATGTCTGAGAGAGGAACGAACGAAAACTCTGCATGAGAGATTGAGTATAAAGATACATGTAACAACAATCTGAATGAAAAACGTCATTCAACGAATAGAGATAGCGTTTAAAAGATAGAGCAAGTTTTCGCCGGCATTAGTTTTGTGCATCAAGGCTCGCAAAATAATTTAGTGTTTCAGCAAACAAAATATCGTTTGATAAAGGTCTATAGAAACGGCTTTTAATGTGTGTGTGCGTGGGGGGGGGATCCGACAAAAAAATCTGCGTTCTACAGAGCTGTGCTTCTCGTAAATCATCAGATCTCCATTTTTCCCATGATAAATTTCTTCCGTATAAATCCAGTACAGGTGTCAAGTCCTAGCCAGTATGAGTTACACGTGTCAAAATAACCCGATTTTTTTAAACTAACAAACTAAAGGTCGCTAATCGGAGATAAAATAAAATTTCACATTATTTTGCTTTGAGACTACAATCAGTTATAAGTAGGCAGATCATTGTAGAAAAAGTGAACAAACCTACATGAATATTCCCTACACCTAAAAATTTTCTTAATTGAATTTCAGTTAGAAAAAAACATGCATATGATCCACGTATTGCAGTCCTTTTTTAAAGGACAGCAACTTGTTCCGACATAAATTTTTCAGTAGAACGTAATATGATGGGTTCCTGTAACAAGAGGCTGAAATGGCGCGAAACTCAGAATGATGACGTAACGTCATAATCAGTTTTACTTGTGACGTAAATAAGCTAACGGTAGGCCCAAAATAGGCCCGCGGCACTTAACGTAGTATTTGAAAATAGGCCCAAAATAGGCCCGCGGCACAAAGAATGTTAATTCAAGTCAACGGAGTTGAGATATTTATTTCATGATATTTGTACACACACACACACACACACACACACACACACACACAAAACAACAAAAAAAAAACCACTTGATTATATTTATCTATGCAGTCAAACCAAAGTAAACGATCCGCGGTACGATTTAAAATATTTCACTGAAAAAGTGAAAAATAAGATTTAAAAAATATTTATTGAGGAAAATTACTGTTGAACTCCCCACTTCAATTTGCCACTAAAACGGAAGATTTCGTTGGCGTATTTTTTGTTTTGTATTGTTTTTGTTTGGGTTTTTTTTTTTTTGGTTAAATTTGGTGATTGAAACAATCACATACTCACATTCAATATGAAGTTAAAAAATGTGACCATGTTGGCCAATTCTAAAATGTTTTCCCATTAATGAAAGTTTTTTTTTAATATGCCGCCTTGCCCCCCCCCCCCCCCCCCCCACCCTCACCCCGTCCCGGCTTTTTGCTTGCGATTTCTAGGCTCATAAATCATAATACTATATATGAAATAACTTATTTTCTTATTAATATAAAATTAAATTTTATAAGATGAAAATATAGGGGAAACGGCTTTTATAGATCACAGGTTTAAAAAAATTGGATAAAGCCGAGACTGTGCACATTTAAATATTTTCTGCATTTAGGCAGTGCAAGTATATTTTCGCCAATGATAGAATTGAAATCTTTAATTCACGAGAGAATTAAAAAAAACTTTAGTTGGAAATAAGATATTTAATAAAGATAAGCTGTTTACTCTCAGTTGTTGCATAATGCATGTACAAATACTTGTTTTTTAATACCGAGTATCAAGAAATCGTACAGATGTTATACATGATTGTAATCTTCATGTACGTAAAAGACATTAGTATTTTAAATACATTGTATAAACATTTGAATCCATGGATAAATTAATTTTAAAACAGTTGACTAACTGAACAGAAATAAAAGACAAGAATATTTTTTTCTGATACATTAAACAAATGCAGAATATTTCTAGTTTTACGGTAAAAACCGATCCCGATTGAAATAAAACCGATCCCGATTGAAAATAATGCAAAATGTGTAAAGTTATAAAACTAAAGACAACTGCCTCCCATAAGACATGTACAAAAATAAATCAAGTAATTTTTTGGCCATATTACAACAAAAGAGCCAAATTTAACATTACAATTATAGTATTTCCTTCTTTATATCATTCCGGTCGGGATCGGCTTAATTGTGAAAAATTGTAAAACATAGGTAAATTTGACTCCTTTTATTTCTCTCAATATAAGGGTGCCCACTGATTTTATTGAGTGACTCAAAAGTTTGTACTTTGTATTCATAATAACATGAGAAAAAAAATCTGTCATTGAAATGTATTGGGTTTTATAACGTAATGAAAATTGGATAATGAATTCAAAAAGTTACTTGCTAATCTCAATTTTGGACCACATATTTTTTTCTAAAGAAATATAAATTGGAGTCTTATTCATTACTAAAATTAAAGATAAGAGTCTATGGTATAAATAATATTGATAGACACATCCAGGTTTTGCGTATCTGGTACATATAAAACAAAATAAAAGCATAGTAATTTTTTTTACCCCCATGTTGACCTTTTTGCACTTGAAATTGAGCAATTACCAAAAATAGGACTAGTGGAGCACTAAAATTTTTTTTGATGTTGTCATGTGTAAACACTTGCTTAAATAAGTCTATATGCAAAAAATAATAAAAATCCATGACATGCGATGTGCCACCCATTGCCTGATTTTCAGTGGACTACCTCTTAATACTATAGAATCTTAATATTTACTGTCTTTTTATAAGGGCACTGTTTCTGAGTGCCCTGCGGTGTTTACTCATTTAGATTTTTCAACACTAAATACATGTACGTATTTACGAAGTTATACATCATTCTTAGTATTTCGATCTGTGTTTTGTGTAAATATTCCGAAAAGTATGATGCTATATACCAAAAATTTCTTTTTGAGTATTTTGACGCATAAACTCAATAAAACTCATATGTCACAATCTAACACCCCCACCCACCCCAAGTCATGTTAAAGAAGCATTATCAAAAGGCGGGTTTTACAAATGTGTAAAATACGTATATGCTAGATATAAAAAGAAATAACACATATGTATTTGCGCAGGACGTGATATTAATTTTCTACATGAAAGTGGGGTTGACATTTTAACAACATTCAAGTTGTTCCTTGTTTAATTTAGTTTAAAATTTATCAAATTGTGCAGAAAAGTACAGAAAAAGCGATTAATGTTTATTCCAAACGGCGTGTGAATGTTGTAGGTGGGTTCAAAGTGGGCGACCATTATCGTCGTGTTTCTGGGACATTCGGAGACATGTTAATTTCTTGTTTACATAGGGCGTTTTAGAAAAAAATATAAAAATATTAAATTTATTCACAGCACACATGGTATAATTACAATGTTAAATATCTTATAAAAATAATACAAGTGCGTGTTAAGGGATCTTCCATGTTTTGAAAATCGTTTTCCTCCGACATATAGAGTTGTCTACTTGTCTATCCATCCTCTCACTGGATAGTTTCGTTTTCCCCCGACTTCCGCTCTCGAGACTTTGTTGCTCGGACAAAGTCTCGAGAGCGAGAGTCTGAGGAAAACGAGACTACATTGTACTCGCTTGAAGACCAGAGGCTGAACACGCCTCAGAATATGTCATACCCAGTGTACAATGTCGTGTTTTCACATGTGCATCCATTAATCTTATTTCAATTTCAATAACATATTCAATTGGTTTCAAAAACACTTGGGGAAAAATGAAATTCTGAAAATTAAAATTAACGAATTAAAAACGTATAAAAAGATAATGGATAGCGTTCTAGAACATAGACGAGTCGCGTCGTAATGATTTCCGCGTTGTGTCATTCTAATTTGTATAAAGGACCTCATTAGCAAAGGAGCCCTCCGAGCCAGCATTTGACAAACTGTCCTTCATTTAAATTTAAAACTTTTTTCTTCGGTGACAGGAAATGGTAAGGTCTTTATAAACATGGTGTTGACATTTTTCTGCGCGCGTCATATAATGATTTTAATGCTGTTTATGCCCAGCATTGCCAAAACACCAAGGACTGCAAAAGTACAAGGCAACATCCCAAACAAAAGTCATGGTGCAGTATTTTGCATATTCTGCGGGGAACACTAGTCAGAATTCATAGAATAAAATGTCAAATGAGTTATATAACTTTCACTAAAACAAGTTTTTTTTTATATTCCTTGATTTATACAAGGGCGAAGGTTGTTGCAGTTTAGTAACAAGTGCCCTTTTGGAAGTTATTGTCCCTGTAATTGTACATGTGTAAAAAAAAAAAAAATGGGGGGGGGGGGATTTGGGTGGGAAATTTATAAGAAAACATGGAAAAAACTTTATATAGCAGTATATATATTATTGAATTTACGCTTATTATATGTCCTGTTATAAAATTAATAAATTAATAAGTCTTCTGATACGCATGCATAATTTATTTTATGTATTCCCTTAGAAGGGGAATTTTCCAATGAGCAAAATTCCAAGGTTTTACACTCAAGGAAAGTTCATATGGAAATAAATGAAGAAAAAATCAACAATTCAGCAAAAACAATATGATTGAACAGATATTTTGATTTCTGATGACAGGTTTCATACAAATGTACCAGGCAATATACCAAAACAGTGCGTTATTGTTCCTAATTATAATATTCTAACAATGGTTTTCAGTTGAATTGTCTCGGTTGACAAAAGCATCTCTGTATATATGAACTATAAAGATATACTCATTAAATCATTTTTTTATGTGGTGATAATTCATAATTTACATCTAACGAATGTTTTATTCATAAATTCATTAAAATTCAATTATATTTAAATTGGCAATTAAGTATTATATCACAACTTTAATTTTGTCAGTCAGTAAACGTAACGACAATAACATCATTATACGATTATTTTTATCGATTTATATTAATACTTTGGACTTTTTCAGTCCATGCGTGTTGCTTTTGTTTGTAATATCATATGCTTTCAAGTTGTCTCTATGGTAAACGCCGGACTTGTAAAATCACATAGAAATAGATAATATAAGATTTAAGGACTATTTCATTCATATAAAAATATTTATTTCATACAAATAACCATTTAACATGACTAGTCAAATGTAACCAATAACCAACTAAATCACACCAGATTCAAACATTATTGACAGGAAAAAAAAACAACCGTGCAATGTTTAATGTTGTGTGAATTTTCTACGGGGTGAAAATCTAGCTACTTATAATATCGTAGATTTCCAAAACAGAATCTGTACAATGCTGGTTTCGTCTGAGCCATTTTTGTTTTTGTTCGGTACCATATTGAACAGTGTATAATGAAACCATGAAAAAAATCATCCAAATAATGGACACGATGATATGCAGGGATTGGTCCTTCCATGTATTCCCTGGGAATTTTCACGTATAGTACGCATGCTCAGAGAATCCTGTTGATAGTGCTCGAAATGATTTACTGGATGGCTTGTCAAATGAGTTTACACTTCGAACACACGCGAAAAGGTTCACAACTCACATATCACAGATCCGTGGATTCATTTTGTTCGTTAATTAAAAAGGAACCATACACTTTCAGGGGAAGTTTATTGTTATTGTTCTCAATGTTTTTTAAATTTTTGTATCCATGCAAATCAGATCCGCCATCTTGATTCTTGGGGTTATTAGCGTCCTCTAAGGCGCGGATCATTTCTTTTAGGTTTTTATTTTCCTCTTGTAACACTTCAATGTCGGAGAGCAGTTCGTCGTTTTCCAGTTGAAGTGATGCGTTAGATCGTTGTCTTTTTATTGACCTGATTTCGTCCTGGAAAATGTTTTTGTCTTCTTCCAGATCTGTAAAAAAAAATCAAGATTTATCAGTAAGCAGATTAAGTTACTGTAGTGAATATAACGATTACCTGGTTCAAAGATTAATTGTAGCGATGCGGATACTGATTTGCAAAATTGCGGATACTTAAATATAGAGACAAAAAAGAGATAAGATTTAATTTTTTGCTTATAAATGAATAATTAACTTCCCACCCTTTTATCTACAATGGTTGAAGGTTAGGCTTGATTTAGAGTTTCACAAATACGACTAATTTGTTTTGATTAGTGAATAGTTTTCATAGTTTATCTAATTGATAGTTTTGATTGCCAAAAGGTATATAAGTACACTGTATACAAGATCTGAGTTAAGCTATAATGACATTTTTTAGACTGTGCTATTCCAAATTACAACTTTAAAAAAGTAAAAACCATGACCATCAAAAGTATAGATTCAGAGAATTTACTACCTATTAGGTGTAAAATATGGAACATGTAATTTAATCAACAGCTATGGAAACATATATATATAACTGTGAAACCATCCAGTGATGTATGTCGCAAAAACAGCCAGTTATCACGGGATATTCTACAATAAATGATGTTTTTGGAGTTGAACAAAAAAAAAAAATACAAACAAATAAACAAAATGCGTATACAGTGTACTTGCGTTACATAAATTGGATCGATATAATGATATACCATATACTTATTCTCGCAACATATACACGCACCTACTGATTGACAAGTGACGTACTGATAAAAAGGAAACGAATTTGATTGATTGCTGTGCTTGTGATATCATTTTAAGTTTTTAACTTAGATTATGTTCAATTTGCAGTTATCTTTTATGCAGCTCTTGGAGGTTATATATTCTATGTATACTGCAATTAATTTGACGCGCTTTCGATTAACAATATTTGTTAACTGCCTCAAAAGATTGAGTTTAACCTTCAAATCAAAAACCATAGGTATAGTTGCTGTTCGTGAAAAGAATAATGCAAACACACTGCAAATATACTTGCATTTTTGGCTGCCACTTTGGCAATTCAAAAATAATACAAGATAATTTGAACGTAGTCCAATAATAAAAATAATCATGCCTTTGTTCCTAGATTGCAGTATAAAAATGTTAATACCTTTGCATTTAAGCTCGAGCCGGATCACTTGGTTCTGGAGATCGGCTCTCTCTGCTTCTAGCTCCTCCTGTACTTCCTGTTGTTCAACTAAATCATTCTCAAGCTGAACAATGCGCAGGCTCAGAACATCTACCGTGTCATTCAGACTTGACTGTAAAGAGATCTATATCTTTCAAATATAGGCAATCAATTTTAGCTAGTTGGTTGGAGACACATGTGGTAAAATAAGAATGTTTCTCTTTTGTAGGAAAATGCTTACCATATCCTTCTTGATGTGTGTCTTGTAATCCTCCATTTCGTCCAGTCTCAGCTCAACACTCATTCGTCGTCTGTTCAGCCGCCATTTTTCCCGCCTCAGACAGCCAATCAGCGTCCTTGCTGACTCCAGACCGTCCTTCAGTCTTCTGTACAGACGGACGTTGGTGCCGCTCTCTGCTTCCTGTGCACATTCTACCTCAACAGCCTACAATAAAGAAAACCTCGCATGAAAAAAGCGCTAAATGCAACACTGACCTAAATTCTTAGGTCCTAAAATCATAGACTATCTAATTAAAACGTATCTGAAATACGCCCTCCTGTTGTTTGAAAGCATGCAGCAAGAAGGTCCCCATTATATTTATGAATATGTTCTATCTGTAAAAGCAAAGAAGTTTTCAATTTGATAACCTCTCTCCTTGACGATAGAGTACTTGCCTCGTTGTATTTTTGGTCGATCTCCTCCAATATGTCGCCGAGACAGTCGAGTTTTTCCGCCAGGTCGTCCGCAGTGTCGAGCAGACCCTCGCTACTCTTCCTCCGCATCATCACACCGCTACACCTCCGGGCCGACATCGAATGGCAAGAAAGCAAGATTCTACTGTAGAAGAAAATGTTAGAGTTACTGGAAGCAAGAATTAGTAAATCAAGATTCTATTAAAGGAGAAAGTTCAAGGATTTTGAAGTAAGAAGCCGTCATGAAAGATTCATTTGTTTACGAAAAGTTGAAGTTTTTTGGATAAAAAAGTTGAAGGTTCTTGGATCAAGAAGCAGTAAAGCATGATTCAACTGTTGAAGAAAAGTGAATTTTTCTTGAATTAAGCAAGAAACAGTAAAGAAAGATTCAGCTGCTGAAGAAAATTTTAAGTTTCTTTGAAGTTTTGGTAGCTTTTGAATGAAGCACTTGAAGTATGAACGGTTTTAGTTTCTTGAAGTCTGGGCGACTTCTGAATGAAGCACTTTTAAATTAATGATTTTCAAAAAATACATTGAAATATTGACACTTGAAGTTGGGTCATGCTGATTGAGTAAATCATTCCCTACTGATACACTTGAGAGGTCGATACGCTTCTCTTTTGGTCTATGGTTTTCTTTACTTTAGGACGAAGTCTATTCTTGTAAATTTGTAATGTCGAACTATCCAAACTAAGCCCTATATATTTTTTTTAAATAAGAAAGCTCTCCATGTACTCGTTGGTATTTCTGTTGAAATATTTATAAATCAATATGAATCCGTTTAAGATATGCTTTGAGAACCATTTTTATTCAGTGCACAAAAAAATTTTGACTCATGTCTCAAATTGTTGTATAATATTTACGAAATATGCAAATTTATTTCAACATAAGACACATTTGCATTTCTAACCGCTTTTTTCGCCGTTTTGAATGTCACATATTAACTTCATGTTAAAATTGTCCCTGACATAGACTATTTTGTTTACTTATATTGTGATAGGTTAAAAATTTTTAATGTTAGAATTCATTTTTTTTATTACTAACTGTTCATTAACCTTTGGATGAACTCAGGGAAGGAACCTTGATAGATAAAAAAAACCAAAAATGGTATTCATTTATTTCTTGATGTATGTATGTTCAGGCAATAAAATTCTGCAGAGTTTGACCCTTAATTTGCCCATGCACAGTTCGACACACTCTAGAATTACTCAGCATTTTATTTACCTAGCCCTTAAGTAAAATGTTAACTTTGCAAACGACCTATTTTTTTCTACCAAAGTAAATCTTAAGACCTTTAATTTTACAGTTGATCTTTTGAATTAGGTTCTATAATTAGAAAAGATTTGATTGACTTTAAAAGCATTGCATAACAATTCATTACAATTAAGGCATGTATATTTTTTTTTTTTTGAAATCGTGATAAGAATCGGAAGCAAGGTTACGTTTGACGTCAAGCCGAGAGTGAAATTATTATTATTTATGAATAATTTATACCTTCGAAGGGACCTGGATTTTCCACTGAATTAGACACAATGTATCAACAAATCTGACATATATTTAAGGGTAAAATAATCTACTGTCTCGGGGTAAACTGAAGAGCAAAAATAAACAACTTTCGGGAGGCGATGGCGGGGGAAGGGGGAGGGGGGTGTACTCAGAATGATCCACACAGTAGATAAAACATTAAATGTGTAAAGTGTGTATGTTTATACCTTTATTAATCAAGGTAGAAAAAAAACAAAACACCAATTGACATTTTCTCCATTAACATGTATAAGTGCTAGAGGCTGAATGTTCAGAATTTGTTTTACAAGCTTATCTAATGATCAAAGGCTGACGATGAATGTGATAGCTGTCACTTGGAGAACAGAGATCTTAGTGTTGGAAAAATTATGTATACGGCGCTGTCAAATCACGGAGACGTTTTGGCATTCACAGTTCTTATTGAGACTTTGAATTGATTTTCCATTACTTGCGTTTGATACTCTGAAATGATTTATACCTTTAGAAAACTTCTTTTGATAGAGAATGCATGCGACAAGGTAAAAAAAGGATATCGAACGAAATATAACAAGTCTATACACTCTTTGTGAGTGGCCCATAAAGTCAGTGTATAGAGAGAAATTGTCCCATTATTAATGATTTAGAGAATTAAACATCTCTTTCTACCAGTTACGATGCATTTTCACCTTTTTGTAGACTAATAAAGCCTATTATGATTAATATATGTAATAAAACACGCCCTCGTGTCGCTCATTCGTTATGGAAATTACCGGCCCATGCACTTATTAAATACAGTAATATACTTATTTACTGAATCTAATCATATTTGCCAAATTTAATTATAATATTAATAAATAAATAATTTTGTCTGTTTGTACGTTTTATTGTTAGATATTCACGTGTATAGTAAGGTGTTGCACTGGAAAAGAAAAGGTGAATTTAGGGATCAGTGAACTTTCCGTGCACATAATTGAAAAAAACTTTTGGAAATTCTAAATGAAAAATCCCAACAGCATTTTCTCAGTGAGTCAATTCATGCCTGTATATATGTTTTGTTTCAGAATTTACGGATTTGTCACAAGTTTCCCTACTTTCCACCCAATGTTTAGGCTTCTTATCTTTATAAGCAAAATTTTCTACCACATTCTTTTCCCTTTTGAGAAGGGTTTAACTTTGAAAGAAATGAATAAATGTAACGTGTGCTTGAATAAATGTAACGTGTGCTTGCTTCGCTGAAAAACTTAATCTCTTCTCTTTTATTCTTTTTTTCAAAATGTGAAGTGATGAAGAAAATGAAAATTGGACAAGTGCATAAACGGGGAAAAAGATACCATGTAGACCATGGAAAGAAACATGTTAAAGCGTACCGAATGCAGCAGTGTGCATTTAACATGGATGGTAGATGTTGATAAAACAGATCATTGGAACAAAGATGAAATTATTGATTTTATGAAATATTTATGGCGGGGAAACTCTAAGTTTTCACAATCCAACTCTTTTGTAAAGAAATATTGATATAAAAATATCATGTTTTAGTATTCTTCACCATTTGAAAAAAAAATCAAGAAAAAAAACCTTATGAAAAACTGATATCAAAATTGCTGCAAAATATTAACGAGGCAATAGAGGAAATGAAAACAAGATATAAATATACGTTAAATTGTCAGAAAAAAAACATTACAAAAGTTGATGACCACAAACAAAATTAAAATTAAATTAATGTTTCTTGTGGAGGGAGAAAAAATTATAAACACCTTACCTGAGCAGGAGGTCGCGCTACAGTGAGAACAGACGGAAGTCTTCTACACTATGTCGGGACGGCCGTTCCACTTCATTGATTGCTGAAAAACGATAATTCTCTTACGCAGGTGCGATATAAATAGGAGACCATGCGTATCCTTATGACAGTTCCCAATCCGTCAACGTCATATTTTGATATGTTTTAAAGAACATAAGAGGCAAATGACAGGCTATTTACTTATATCACATCAAAATATACCTATTTTACAGGTAATTGAGAGCATTACCGCCTTCTAGAAGTTTATCGATTTACAATTATTTTTTTATGCAGATCACTACACTGCAAAACAACCGAATGTGTGAAATACATGTAAAAGAAGGTAATAATTGTGTGGGTTTTTTTAAAACTAAGAATAAGGTGTATTGAGAGAAATGCGTGGGTCATAAGCTATGTTGCACAGTGGTTAGCTGAGATTGAATAAACAACTTTGAGGTTTATGCTCAAAATATCCGGAACACCTTTGCAAACGGTGAACAAGTTAAGATCGTTGCGTCTTGACTCAGAGATCTTTTTTTTTCTTGCGTTTGATTGATATTTGCTGTTTTACGTCCCATCTGAGAATTTTAATCCCACATAGAGATATCAACATATATCAACCACGGGCTTAAAATTTAAACCTTTACTCAGCGTTTAGCATTGAGGAATCTGTATTTTGCCAACGCCTGTCATGACACGTGGCCTCGGTTTTTAGGGTCTCATCCAAAGGAGTTCTGAGCACCTGGCGATCGAAGGAACAGTTGATATCTATTTCTTTTGACTTAGATCAGTCGCAGCAGGGGCGTTTCAGTATGAGTGAAAAATTCTTGAAGGGACCTTAAACAAACATGCATACAAACAATCTTGAAAGGGACATGGACACGTTAGAATTGTATGACTTGCTTTGCTGTCTTAGCTGCAGAACTAACTCATTGATCTGAAAAATTTAGGGATTGCCTACTAAGAGATCTACACTCTTCATGTCGCCCGTGTGGCGCAGTGGTTAGAGCGTCTGCTCTATAGTCGCGAAGTGAGGAGTTGATCCTTAAGTCGCTGGTTCGAATCCCACTGTGGAACGTGAAAGCCTGTCCCTCGAATAAGACCGCATAAACTGAGGTCCCGTGTCGCATTAGGTTTTGACACGAAAAAGATCCCTCCCTGCTCAGTGGCTCTGAGTGCCGAGTATAGGACAAAATTTGCAGCTCTCCACCGGCAAATGTTGGCGTCTCCACTTGAGTGAAAAATTCTCGAGAGGGACGTTAAACAACATACAATCCATCAATCTACACTCTTCAGTGCCACCCCTTGGAAAAAAGTATATTGTGCAAATATGCCGGCTGTTTATTACGAAAGCCCATTTAGGACCTATCGAAAAATATTTTTGAATCCGTTTAACAAATTGTCGAATTTGTAAAAACAATTTTCATTCGTGAGAACAATTTCTTGGAATTCGTTATAATGAATTTAATCTGTTATAACAAATTGTTGAAATCGTTATAACGAATTCAAAAAGAGCATAGCGCATTTGATAGTCACTTTCGCCTACTCTAGTAGTGATTTTTTAAATACATCGTTTAACCAAACTTTTGTCATACAATGTTAGTTTATACATGCCTTAAAGCAAATCACACAAAAATGATATTCAAATATTAATAGTTCCCTCATATGATAGATATAAAAATCGTTGACTTCATATGGAGAATACAGTAAATACTGAGGTATGCCCCTAAACAATGACATACTGTAGCAAAAGATCACCCTTAACCAGAAAAACCACTTCAAATTATTATTTTTGGATATGACTCCACCTCATTACATTTAGATAATTTTGGTTAAAGGTGGTCTTCATATTGAAAATGTTGAAAATATGTATGTAATTTTCCTTCTCAAAATTATTTTAAGATTCAACAACCGGTCTTAAATTTATCCACTTGCTTAAAAAGACTTCGTGGTGAAGTGGTATGATTGTTGGATTGTAAACATAAAGATCGTGAGTTCGAGTCTCACAGTGTGTGTTTCTTGTGTATGCTTTTATTAGCTCACCTGAGCTGAAAGCTCAAGTGAGCTTTTCTGATCACATTTTGTCCGGCGTCCGTCTGTCTGTCCGTCTGTCTGTCTGTAAACTTTTCACATTTTCGACTTCTTCTCAAGAACCGCTGGGCCAATTTCAACCAAACTTGCAACAAAGCATCCTTGGGTAAAGGGGATTCAAAAAAAATGAAGGGCCACGCCCTCATTCAAGGGGAGATAATTGGGAATTAATGAAAATTTGGTGGCTTGTTTTAAAAAAATCTTTTTCTCAAGAACCACTGAGCAAGGAAAGATGAAACTTAAATAGTAGTGTAGATTCAAGTTTTTTCAAATCAACCCCTAGGGGTAGGGCGGGGCCAAAATGGCTGACCAAAGTTTTACATAGAAATATATAGGAAAATTCTTTAAAAATCTTCTTCGTGTGTGCCATAATTCATCATATTTATATGGAAGCATCCTCAGGTAGTGTAGATTCAAATTTGTTCAAATCATGACCCCCGGGGGTAGGGCGGGGCCAAAATGGCCGACCAAAGTTTTACATAGAAATATATAGGAAAATTCTTTAAAAATCTTCTTCTCAAGAATGACCATGCCATAATTCATCATATTTATATGGAAGCATCTTCAGATAGTGTAGATTCAAGTTTGTTCAAATCATGACCCCCGGGGGTAGGGCGGGGCCAAAATGGCCGACCAAAGTTTTACATAGAAATATATAGGAAAATTCTTTAAAAATCTTTTCAAGAATGACCAAGCCATAATTCATCATATTTATATGGAAGCATCTTCAGGTAGTGTAGATTCAAGTTTGTTCAAATCACGACCCCCGGGGGTAGGGCGGGGCCAAAATGGCCGACCAAAGTTTTACATAGAAATATATAGGAAAATTTTTTAAAAATCTTCTTCTCAAGAATGACCAAGCCATAATTCATCATATTTATATGGAAGCATCCTCAGGTAGTGTAGATTCAAGTTTGTTCAAATCATGACCCCCGGGGGTAGGGCGGGGCCAAAATGGCCGACCAAAGTTTTACATAGAAATACATAGGAAAATTCTTCTTTAAAAATCTTCTTCTCAAGAATGACCAAGCCATAATTCATCATATTTATATGGGAGCATGCTCAGGTAGTGTAGATTCAAGTTTGTTTAAATCATGACCCCCGGGGGTAGGGTGAGGCCAAAATGGCCAACCAAAGTTTTACATAGAAATATATAGGAAAATTCTTTAAAAAATCTTCTTCTCAAGAATGACTAAGCCATAATTCATCATATTTATATGGAAGCATCCTCAGGTAGTGTAGATTCAAGTTTGTTCAAATCATGACCCCCGGGGGTAGGGCGGGGCCAAAATGGCCGACCAAAGTTTTACATAGAAATATATAGGAAAATTCTTTAAAAATCTTCTTCTCAAGAATGACCAAGCCATAATTCATCATATTTATATGGAAGCATCCTCAGGTAGTGTAATTCAAGTTTGTTCAAATCATGACCCCCGGGGGTAGGGCGGGGCCAAAATGGCCGACCAAAGTTTTACATAGAAATATATAGGAAAATTCTTCTTTAAAAATCTTCTTCTCAAGAATGATCAAGCCGTAATTCATCATATTTATATGGAAGCATCCTCAGGTAGTGTAGATTCAAGTTTGTTCAAATCATGACCCCCCCCCCCCAGGGGTAGGGCGGGGCCAAAATGGCTGACCAAAGTTTTACATAGAAATATATAGAAAAATTCTTTAAAAATCTTCTTCTCAAAGATAGAACATCCATTATTGTTCATGGGACTACTTTTGGATTTTACCTTTTCAATAATAAACCAATTTATACTTTGCCTAGCCACAGTGCTCAGGTGAGCGATGTGGCCCATGGGCCTCTTGTTTTTTTTTTTTTTCTCTCTGTGCATTTTTCCCATGTTTTTTTTAATTTTATTTTTTACAATACATGTATAAATAATATAAGAGATATATAATACAACATTACACTTTAAAAGTATCTCTGGAAAAAAGAGTCCTAAACCATTTTCATAACCCAAAGTCATAGACGCTAGCTTCTTTTATTTGAACTTTTTTTAAAAATCTTGTTTAGAATAAGAGTATTGAACAAGTAAAATTATTGTCATGTAACAAACTTGCAACTATGAAAATATAACACTGGTCCACAAATATTTACATACATGTAGTTTGATCTTGAATTGAAAAAGGTACATGTATCTATAAATAGAAACAGGTGATTTCCTTTAAATACTTGAGTCGGCCGTATCGTCGGTAATGCAGCTATGGTCCTTTGCTAATACGAACTAAACTCGTTTTAACAGATTCTAAATCTTGTTATAACGAATTGAATTTGTTCGAACGAATTCCATAATTTTGTTATAACGAATTAAATTCGTTAAAACGAATTATACAAATCGTCACATCGAATTCATATATATATTTTCTATAGGCCCTGATTATTGAATTTGATTAAACGAACTTAATTCGTAATAACAAACTTTGTAATTTGTTTAAACGAATTAAATTTGTTATAACAGACTTTAAAATTTGTTTAAACGAATATCATTTGTTATAACAAATTTTTTAATTCGTTTTAACGAATTTAATTCGTTATAACAAATTAGAGAATTCGTTATAATGAATTCAACAAATTTGTTATAACAGACTAAAATCGTTATAACAAATTCAAAGAAATTGTTATAATGAATTAAATTCGTTATAACAAAATCGACAATTCGTTAAATCAAATTTCAAAAATATTTTTATAGGTCCTAAATGGGCTTCCGTAGTTTATCGATTTATATCTCAATATATCAAATTAATGCTAAATTATCGAAGCCCATTTAAGATATATCGAAAAAAAAATTTAAATCCGATATAACGAATTGTCAAATTTGTTTTAACGAATTTAATTCGTTATAACAATTTCTTTGAATTCGTTAATAATGAATTTAATCTGTTATAACAAATTTGCTGATTTCGTCATAACGAATTCAAAAATTTGTTAATACAAATTAAACTCGTTTTAACAGATTCTAAAACTTGTTATAACGAATTG